CTGGGCTCTGCAGTCCCTGGGGGCCTGGCAGCTGTCCCGGGGCGGCCCCTCCGGTCGCGCAGCCTGCTCCTCCGCGCCCGCCCGCCTGCCCGCCGAACCGAGCGCGAGCAACTGGCGCCCCCGATCGCGCGCGCCCGTCCTCCTCCCCTGCCTCCTCCCCACCCCGGGAAGCACCGAGTGGGCTGCCGAGCCCTTCGTATTTATACTTTCTTCCCGGCTTTGACATAAGAGGTTTATTTTTGATCTCTCAGTATTCCCGTTTCCCCTCCCCTGGGATCGGAGAGAGAAACTGAAAAGAGGGAGCGAGAGAGGAGAGAAAAAAAATTTTTTGGATGAAATGTAAAACCAATCAGGAGTCAGCGAGACTCGCTCCCCTCCCCACCCTCCTTAAGTATCAACTCCAACTTTTCCCCCTTCCCTTTACGTGCGGTCCCACATTAACTCCTACAGTGCTGGACTGGCCCTCAGGCAGAGTACTTGGGGAGGCCCAGTCTCTCCCTCCTTTAAGGCCAAGTGCCAGAACACATCTTCAGAAGTGGCTCCTGCCCCAACTCCAGCGACAGTATTCTGATCCCTGCAGAGTCACTCTGGGCATCGGGTTATTAGAAGAGAGGTCTCCTCCCGAGAAGGTTCCAGAGCTTTTAATTGTGAAGCAAAAGAGAGAGATGGGAAAGGTAAACCAAAATCTTGCACCCCACTAAAAATCCCATTCTCACCCCAAGCTGGGGATTGGGGAAAAAATACCACCTGTTAACACAACCAGTGACTCTGTCACTGCTCCTTCTGGGGGCTGGCGGGGCAGAGCCCAGCACAGTGGTAAATTACCAGAAGTGAGGTTGGCAGCTAGGTGGGCTCACCCAGAGGAAAGGCACGCATTTTCCTTGGTCTTAAAGTAGCAGATCACCAGGAACTGCATGTCTGGCCCTGAAAACTCGACTAGAACACTGCTCAGTTGCCCCCAGGGGACTTCATGAAAAGTGGCAAGCCCTCTTTCACTGCAGTTTCCCACAGTTGCGGGTACAAACGTGTCCCGCACTGCCACCTCAAAGAGAGTGATGGTATGGTCTACAGTCGTCTCTCAAGACTACAAAACACAGCACTTCATGGCACCTCGGTCTGAATGACAAAGGTCTGAATTGGATTCAGGATCCTGCTAAGTATAGGCTCTTGAGTTGCCCATCTCTGCCCTTGCTCCGAATTGTCAATATGGAAGATTCAGGGGGACATTTCCCTACTTGGCCAGCACCCCCCAACCCCCAATATCCCAGTTCCCTGTCTGTGTTGGGAGCACTGACAGTTGAGGTTGTCCCTTTTAGTTCTTAGCCCATCGAATTCTTTTCAGCAGCTATGGAGGTTCGGTACATATGTGAGACTCTCAGAACTTGTTATCTGCAAAGAGGAGTCTCTCATAGCTACAAAAGTACTTTTGCAACTACAGAACACTGGGAACGCCCTGCCAGATTTCCTCCAAGTGTCCCCTTTCTCTGCTTTCTCAGAAACATGGAAGGATGGCTTTAAATTAGATATAAGAATGGATGAACTTGCTGCAGAATCGTCTTTCCTGTACAATTTACAAGATAAGAATAATTGGAATTTCGGATGTTTGGGGAAAATACTTGTGGAGGCAGGGGAATGGAAAAGATGGCCTCTTCAATCCTTTTCCACAAATGAACAGAATACATCATCCCAGCACAATGGTGTGACAGCCCTGGGAGAGTGCCCTGGACAAGCAAAGTGTAATCTCATTTTGCTTTGGGTCTGATCATTGGTCTTTGCTTCTTAAAGCCCCTGATTTCCATTTCCCAGAGTAAAACTCATGATTTTCAATAGCAATTATGTTCTGTAGGTTTTTCTTCTTCCTCCTTTGTAAATATCTGAGAGACGTGGGATGGAGAAGTTGTGCCAGGTTCCCCTTCCTTTCCTCCTGAATTTGTATTAATTAATGGCTGCAAGTGGGAGACTTAAGCAAACTAGAACAAGTCTTGAATGTCTTTGGAGGCCTCTGGTCTCTGAAAAAAAAAATTAAAAAAAAAATATATTTAAATATATTTAATGAAATGCCCCTGAAAGCAGCTCTTTGGAAGTTTCTGTGGAGAGAGCAGGGCTTTATCTGGCCCCATTCCAACGACGACGACGACGACGACGACGACGACAACTGCTGGCTGGCTCACTTGTGGGGTAAGCCTGCATGGCTGCCCCCTCCCTCTCTCCAGCCCGCCCGGTTTCATACTTCCTAGTCAGGATAGTGCCTGCCACTTGCAGTGTGACCTCAAGGTGTCAGGCTTGCCTTAACTATGCTTAAGCCCATGTCCTTTATGCTGGGACTGAGAAACTGGTTTGTGATCAAAGCCCTTAGGAGACCAACAGATGAAAAGAATACAACAAAATAAACACCAACCAACTGAGCAGTGCAAATCCCAGACTGGTATCTGCCAATTCCAGATTTCCTACATTACCACGTTCTTTCCCCAAATGCATAATTACAGCAGGGGTTGGCAAACTATCACCCATGGGCTAAAGCCTGCATGTTGCCTGTTTTTGTATAGTCCACAAGCTGAGAATAATTTTTAAATTTTTTAAATGATTGAAAAAATTGAAAAATATTATAAAATCTCATGATGCTTGAAAATGGTATGAAATTCAAATTTCAGTGTCCGTAAATACAGTAAAGTTTTATTGGAATGCAGGCACAGCTATTCAGTTACACATTGGTTATTCTTGTGCTAGAAGGAAAGAGTTAAGTCAGCCTAAAATATATTTACTATCTAGCCCTTTGCAGAAAGCTTGCTGACTCCCGAATTACAGTAAAGCAGCATTAATTTGGAGTCCTCAGATTTGGAATGTGGGTTATTTATACCCAGTATAGGTGATTTTTATGGAGTGAGAAGCTCAAAATAATTTCTTGCTTTGAATATGAAGGAGAAATTATATAGAAAGTTGAAATTAAAATATCTATGTTTATTTTTAATTCTGTATTTAGCAATTATTCATTATTTAATTAGCCTTAAAAAAATTAAAGGAATTTATGTTTCTGGTACCTTATCCTAGAGGTCTATGGTGAATTTTGAGTTTTTAATTAACTTATACTATTAGTAACTGGTATTTCTTACTTTATAAGTAGAGTTTTATAGAGTATATATCATAAATTTATAAAGTCCACTACTCTTTGGTATTTTCTAGAATCTCCTTCCTATTTGAAGAGACATTAGCAGTTGTGTAATCTACTTCCACTCACATTTTACAGAGAAGAAACAGAAATGCAGAGGTTCTAGTGACTTGCTCAAAGACATAATTAGTGGCAAATTTTTTCCTAAAATACCATGGTACCTCCTGCCTGAAGATAAAGAAACTGTACTGCTTTTACATTTCATTTGCAATTCATACTTTCTTGTTAAAATTGAGTGCTTACTCTGGGCCAGGCATTGTTCTAAAGTCTCATTTTAATTGATTTTGATCTAATCTTTAGTAATAATAGTTTCTATTTTTTCAGTGTTCGCTGTGGGCAAGACACTGTGCTGAACAGCTCACAAACATTATTTCACTTTATCATCATGACAATCCTCTCAAAGAGGCATTCTACAGGTAAAGAGGTTTAGAAGGGTTATGTAACTTGCTTGGGATCTCTCAGTTAATAAGTGATGGAAACAGTGTTCTTAACCAAGATCACATTCATAAGTTGCCGATTAAATACAATATTTTTCCGGCGATGATGCCCGATGTTCCTCTGTTTAGAAGCAGGGATTAAATCATGGTATTACATTGCTGGAAGGGACTCTAGGATTTCATCTTTAAAGATCTCAAAGAAGGGAGCGAACAGCTTTCTCAAAATCCTGTTACAGTACTTAAATATAAACAAGATTCTTCTTTACTAAGCAGAAGAATACCCTTTGCCACAATTCGTACTTATTTTCTATAGCTTTGGCTATTGCGTAATCACCATGACCCTGCATTGTCTATGACAGAATTTCCGGGTCCTTAGTCATCATGCTACTGGGCACTCATCACAGACAGGCCATGTTTGACTTTTGACATCACTTTTTTGCTGCCACTCACCTTGTATTCCCTTTGGCATTTTTGTGAATACCACTCGTATGTATGTATACGAGCATTGGTATTCATTTTCATCTGTTTAATTCTTTCTTAATTCGAAATATTCTATCTTTTGAAACTTCATCCAGTCTATAGAAAGCCATTAAATAATTGATGTTAATTAATATTCTTGAGGCTACTTTAAGTTCAATTTCCTAACTCCTGTAAAACACTACTCTGATGATTTTCCTACCTTCATCTGGCTGTTCTGCTGTTTAGACACTCTCAATGTGTGACATGCTCCCAATCCTGTTATCTAGATCACTGAGAACCAGATCTATACAAACTGTAATGCAATACTGACATTGACTTGCTCACCGACCAGACTTTAATTGGTTTTAATACACCAAGAAGCAAAACCAAAATTTTTGTTTTTGCTACTGGTATTTTCAGTGACTAATTGAGCTCATTGTGGGACACACAAAATATAAGGTTGCCCGAGATTCCATGTGGAAAGCATCTGTGATTACAATCTGTGATCACTAATGTAACTAGCAGCTAAGTGTTACTTGCACATTTTGAGTCTTACATGCGATAACAATGGCCATGATGACAACAGAGGCTTAGGTCATGTTTGCTTTACTACTTTACAGCCAACAGGTGGCACTGATGCCACCCTTTTACAATT